TCGAATTAATTTGATGGCCTGCTCCCAGTTGGCTTGTTAGCTCAATTGGTAGAGCGCTGCACTAGTATCGCAGAGGTCAGTGGTTCGAATCCCGTACAGGCCTGAAATTTTTTTTTTTTTCAGGTCTGATTTTCACTATTGCTCAAATAGTGCTTTACTGCGAAGGATCGTGCTCATATACGTCTCATAACCGCAGTTCACACATATGTTTCATATGTTTGTTGTTGTATAATTTTACACGTAACACTGTACGCTTGATTGATAGAAGGTACGTTTATTTGGGAAATGATCACCGGGTGCTCACGCTCGGTTTAAACCTCCTCAGTCCAAAGGTATCAGAGAGAATCGACGGATGAAATGAGCCACAGCGTAATAAAAAGTAACCCCACTCTTCTATTTACGTGTTCATAGTGCTGCGCTCGGCGTAATAGCGTGATGCAACAGGATATTTGGACCATGATGCTTGTGAATTAATTAAAGCATGACGTAGAAATTCAGGCGATGCTTGACGAAAAAAAATTGAAAAAGTAGGAGGAGAGGGGGGGTGGATGCATCGTAAAAGTCCGAGTTCTAAAGGGTCTACGTCAGTGTTGTATCAAGACAATTTCACCGAGTTGAAACTTTCGTTCAATCTTATTTCCACCTTTTTGAGTACGAGTGTGTCATAATCGAAAGGTATTCCAACCCGTACCCATCCTCTTTATAAGTCAGAGTTTTAGATAACAATATCTGGTTGTTGGATCTGCGCAAATTAGTTCTGACACAAGGAGGCACCACATGGTCTGTGTTATCTGAGTTGTTTCTCTATCGTCAGGATTGTGGGGCCTCGTAAATAATGCTGGAATCGCATATCTGGGTCCCGTTGAATGGACACCGCTGGAACAATTTAAACGTACCGCCGACGTTAATCTCTGGGGGACGATTGACGTCACTAAAACTTTTCTACCGCTGGTGCGAAGAGCCCGGGGACGAGTTGTAAACTTCTCAAGCGTTCTTGGTAAGTCAGGTGGGGATCTGGGGAAACAGAGGCATGACTCTCCACTTCCCTCTTCACACATCCCTACCTTTTTCTTGTTGATCAAAAACCAGGGTATCGAAGCACTTTGTGTACCAATCTTTTTGTGTACGGAATTGCACGAGTAGACTATCAAAAAGCTCCCTAAATCTAATGTTTCGTCTCACTTTTTGTTTTGTTTCTGGCTATGTAAATCTACCAGGCAACCGTTCGGTTTTAACTTTCTAGCATTCCTCTGGTTAGCGCATTATTTTAAATATTAGATTTAATCCTGAATTTAATATTCTGACGTTTCCTCTATCCACTTGATAGGTCGAGTATCCCCAACAATGTTAGGATCTTACGCAGTGACGAAGTACGGTGTGCAAGCATTTTCGGATGCTTTCAGACGAGAGATGGATCCTTGGGGAACGAAAGTTAGCATAGTGGAACCCGGTGGATTCCGTACTGAAATTATTAGAGGAGGCAAAGGAGAGAGACAGATCCAAGAAGGATGGGATGACTTGAGCGATGAACTAAAACAAGAATATACAGAAAAAGGTAATAACAGTGTCTATTGCAGAACTGCAGTGGTGCAAAATCTTCCCTTTTCTTTTCCTGCTGCATGCATGTGAAAAAAAGATCAAGTTCTCACTGTGTTAAGATATTCCATACTACCGAATCAAGAAAGAGTATCATGCGATGAATATAAGAGCTGATTTAAAGGGGCTGTTTGAGACAATTTTATGTGAGTATTCATTTCAGTCACGGTAGTATGCACGTAACAGCATCACTGTAAAAATTAGAAAACAACCACACCTCAAGAGAGATTTCGCACGCGTTTATATTAGCCCGCTAAGGTAGCCGCAGACAAACATCAAAACCTTATACTGTATGCTCACGGACCCAGCCATGCCCAAGAGTCTAAAATTTTGCGACCAGGGGCCCGTTTCTCGAAAGTCCCGGTAACTTAACGGGCCCGTAAAGCTGTTCTATTTTCATTCAAGATGGGGATTTCAAAAGTTTTGAAAATGATACAATAAAACTATCAGCTTAAGAAACAGAAAGGACTGGTTTACGTGCCAGAACCCGGTTTGAACATTGCTTCGGGCCCGTTAAGTTACCGGAACTTTCGAGAAACGGGCCCTAGGCCCCTAAAAGGAGCTGCATTTCGTAAAGTAGCAAAAGTTAAGCATCACCTGATTAAACCGATAAAAATATGTCCAGCCTGAAAAGCAGCTCATAAAACCATTAGACATCTTAGATTGATCCACTAACCTTGCAGCTGAGAGCAAACTTATAGCAAAAAAAAAGATTAAAGGTTGAATTCAAAAAATGTCAATTTGCCAAGGCCTACCTCTGTTCCTCTTTTAGGTATTAAGTTGTTTTTACCAATGCGCCCTTCACCTCATACCCATAAAGTTGTCGACGCCGTTGTAGAAGCTTTGACGTCACAGTCACCACGTGACCGTTACTTGGTTGGTTTGGACACCCCGATTTATGCGTGGTTGGCAAGATTTCCAGCTGTTTACGCGGATGTCATCATCAACCTTCTGTCCATTAGGATCCCTCTGCCACCAAAATTTAGAGAAAATAAGTGAGCTGTGAATTGAGCGGCAATAAACGTCTCTACTGAATTTAAAGCATCTGTGATCATGAAAAGGCTTGGAACTGGAGAATACTGAACACAACAACCCAAAGGGTCGAAGAACTCGTTGTTCTCAGATTGTGAGATGCCAATTTGCAAGTGCTTGTTAATCACTCCGTGTTAACGACAATCCATGATGTGGAAAGGGTTCCAGATTTCAGTCTCTATGGCCAGTAACAGAAGTTTATAACCTGTACAGCTATAGCTTATAAGCTTCTGTCTGTAACCATTAGCGTTTATACCTGCATGGGTTAATTAAGTAGCAAATTTTATGTTCTAGATTTTATTCTTTATAATTTAGACTCTCAAGTGAATTCAAGAACGATACTTTTTTTTCTATTTTAAGCTAGAAAATGACACCCAGGTGTTCAGATGGGGCTTCCAAGATATTTCAGACTTCTTGTTCTACTTTTATTCAGTGATTTTTGTTCTTCCATTATGAGATCTCTGTTTTTTAACAAAGTGATGCTCTTTGTGTTGATCAATTTATTGTCAGATAGGCAAAAAAGTTTTCTGCCTTTCTCAGTGGGTAAAGCTCTCATCAAGTGTGGAAATTGAATTTAATTGCCTTCCACAAGGCTACCCAAATATTGAAAGGCATAGACTCTTGCCAAAGAAAATTATGAATAAAAAAATACCCATAAATAGCAAGTTGTAGTTGTAATACTTAGTGACACTAGACCCATGAACTGGTTTCGAAAATTATTCTAAAAATCTAACTTTTATATTGAATGATCAAACAATAACATTACAGCCTGAATAAAAGGTACACCCATATGCATAATAATATTACACCCTGAAAAAAAGGTACACCCATATGCATAAAAAATCTACATATCGAATAATAGCTTAGGGCAGCAGTTATTCAACTGATGTACAACTTCTCTTTATCTTACAGAAAAAAACAGTCAGTCTCACAATATTTTCAAAATTCAATGGACATCCAAATCCGTTCTTCAAGTAAATGATCTTGCCTCCTATCATATTACCCTAGTTAAAGTCTGTTTATGAGCCTAGTGGCCCATTAGGCTGATCCTTAACTCCAGTTTCTGTAGCATGAAGTGACTAGGAGTATTTCTACTCCCCCCCTGGATGGGATGCCGTACCATCAGCAGGGTTACCCCCGGCATTAAAGTGCCGGTACCCATTTATACACCTGGGTGAAGAGAGGCACCGTGAGAGTAAAGTGTCTTGCCTAAGAATACAAGACAATGTCCCGGCTGGGGCTGACGATGACCCCGGACCACTCAATCCAGAGTCAAGCCCACTAACCATGAGGCCACCGCGCCTCCGGTTATTTATGTATAAACTATTGTGTTTGGTTTGTGATGAATTCTTTTCATGGTAAGTGGAACTGTTACAAGATCCATAATGAAACAATCATATCATTATATTATTTTATTTTATTTATTTAACAATTTGCCAAAGGCAGGTAAATTTACGATAGGACAAGGTTGTCCCCTACTATGTAAATTACCTTTCCCTATCCTCTACAAACCCCATGCTGAGAAATAACAAAATATATAATCATTAACAAAAGAGAAAAAGAGAAAAAAAACCAGTTGATCAACATGTACAAGAATTAAGAGCATTGAAAGAATGACATTTTACACAAACTATTTTACAAGAACAGATGTCGTCTTGATTGAAAACAATTATTTTCCCAATGTATATGTGCACGATCCTTCGCAGTAAAGCACTATTTGAGCAATAGTGAAAATCAGACCTGAAAAAAATTTCAGGCCTGTACGGGATTCGAACCACTGACCTCTGCGATACTAGTGCAGCGCTCTACCAATTGAGCTAACAAGCCAACTGGGAGCAGGCCATCAAATTAATTCGACATAAACCCGTAGATGATAAATCAAACAACAACAAACATATGAAACATATGTGAAAATACCCGGATGGATAGTGCCCGTCCACAGAAAATACCTGGATTGAAAGTACTCATCCGTGAAAAGTTTTAAATAGTTTGACGGCCGCGAAGTTAGGCAGATCGGAAAAACAGTGACTTTTCAATTCTGACAGGTATGACATATTATTTAGCCAATGTACGGTTGCGAATTATTGACATTTGTGACAAGCTGTAGGCACGGAAGAAAATTTAATGGTGAACAATAAAAACAATAGAGTGTTTATGTCTCGGAACTATCGGTCTGATAGTTGCCCCTTGGAAATTTGATGTTCTGAAAACTAACATATTTGTTTTAAGAACATCAAATTTCCGCAGGGCAACTATCAGCCGATAGTTCCTCGACAGAAACACTCTTAGACGTTTAAATAAGCCTTGCTGGTTCTGGGTGAACCAGCATATCCTAGGGAGCATTTTCAAGTTTATTCTGTAATCTGCCTCAACATCTTGCTCCCAAACATTTAACCTGCTTAGTCTCCATGTAGTGGAACATTTTGCAGGGAAGAAATTGAACTCACAAGGATAAATTATACCGTCCCATAAAATTGTTGGAATACACAGAGGAAATCTGGTTCTGTAGAATTATGCTCATAGTACATTAACCCCCAAAAAAACCCTTCAATTGTATTACCCATAGTAATGTAACAACTTAATTTTTTCATTCTCAAGATTGAAGGAAAAACCTCCACTGGTAGTACAAGTTGCCATTAAAATTGGGAAAATGTTTTGTGTTATGAAGATTTAAAGTCTGAAAAATTGGTAATAAGAACCGAAGTGTACAAAAACTGTAACAAGCATAATTTATCAATGGGGACTGTGAATCGAAGCCAACTGTAATATCAACATGACAGTGACCACTTTCAAAAGTACTTAAACAACATTGCATGATCAAAGCATTTAATATTGTTTGCTTTGTGATGTTATTTTTTGAGGTTACCCTTTGACAAAATTGAAAAGTTATGTTCCTTTTTGTGTTTATCATCATTTATATTACCATTGTAAAATTTCTTTTTACATTAATATTATTATCATAAAAATTATCGCCTTTTTTTGTTAATAATATTTTGTTAAAGTGTGCCTTAAGAGTTAAATTTAATGGGATGGGTTTTGCCAATAAAAATAATTATCGAAGAAACTGATTATTGATTGTATCAAAAGTATTACATTCCAACTCATTCTTCCAGCAGTCGCTGCGTGTTCAGCTGTAGAGAATAATTCTTTTTTTAAATTACTGGCGTTAATCTTTCAGGGCAATAAATTTTCTGTAAGCATTCACAAAATTTATGTTTTAAAGGTACTTAATACTTACCAGACGACTGAAACGGTGGCTAGATAACTCTTGGTTCCCATAAAATCTTGAAGAGCCCAGAAGTTACCCAGAAAAAAATGGTTGTTAAACGTTTACGCATGTGCAAACGTTGTGGTCAACAGGCTCGTCACTAGGGAATCACAGGCCAGTAAACCTGTATGCGATCGTAAAGTCTCGAGTTTTCCTCTTCCCTACTTTTGTTTACTTTTACAGATTTCTATGAAAGTTTTAAATTCGCTTTAAGCTAATTGTTGGCGGCATTTGTTTCATATGTTTTCTTTTGAAATTTTGCGCGGAAAATTCGCTTGTGGGCAGTCAAATTTGATCCTCTAGGGCATACCCTCTGTTTGACCATTGTGTTTAATTGTTCAGAGTCCGTGAAAGCCTCTTCTCCAATTCGCACTCAATTTCTGTCGTCACGTGGAAGGTGTCAGCGCCAATCAACAAAAGTCGTTTCATGGCTAGTTGTCAGGACATTTAATGTGATGCGTCCTCATACCAGATGGCTAGACCGCATATTCGCGCGATTTGTACCACTAATTGAACTTGCCTAAACTTGAGCTTCAAAACAGAACCTGGTGCTACTACAGACCATGGCCAATTTCATTTGACCGTCTTTCCAACTGGTGGCAGACCACTGAGTTGGCAGCGGTGACGGAGAGCTTTGAAACATGAGGACTAATTATCTTTTACCCAGCCATGTGCATACCCCTACCCGACTGTTCTTGATTTTGCAAGGGGGTAATCAGGGGGTTAGGAAACAAAGGTGGGATAGTTTACTGATGTTGGAAAACTATAGCCTGCGAAGCAAGCCCTGGGGGAAAGGAGGGGGGATTGGGGGGAGCGGAATGTGCGGAGGGGAGAGAGGGGGCTTGCCACAGACCCCCACTAACTAACGAAACGCCCCCTATTTTCATATCGTGTTGCATATGTCAATCAGCGCCTCTTAAAATTAACCAATCAGAAAGCGCCATTAGCGAGAGCTCAGTGAACCATGCAAACTGTCAAAAAACCAACTAAAACTTGCTCCGCGTGAGTAAGAAATATCAGACGACAAGGAGAATCTGGTATCAAAATCTAAGAGGGGGAGAAGGCCAAAAGTTAATCCAGAAGACGTAGTTTGTCGGTTTTGTGGAGTAGATCTAAGAATTAAATTTGTAAGTGGCTTCAAGAGTTTTGTAAACATTTTTAATCAGAGTCAAATGGAAGAATTTCAGTGTCTTCGCCGATCGCCTTCGAACGGTCGGTTTTCACTTTGAAAATAAGTCGCACACCTCTCAAATTATATGCCTTCCTTATGCAAGAAAAACTAACAGTTTTCACCAGTTTTATGAATTGTTGAATAAGGCCGCTTCTCAATGTCCACATTCAATGTCTGCTGGGAAATCAGGTGGTGCTATTCAATCGTCCCGCAAAAGAGTGAAATAAAGGAACACAGTCTCCACACAAAAAATAAAAAAAAAATTGAATACGGTCTAATCACTCAACCACTTCTAACATGCATGCTCAATAAACTATGACCTATTATATACTATATCATTGGGTGACAAGCAATGAGAAAATCATGAGCACATTCTTTTGGAGTGAAAAGGGAAAAAGCTGTGTAATGATCACAGCTTTTTCAATTTTAGTCACAGCTCGTCATTTTTCAGAACGTGGTTTTAACTCAACCTAAGTTTAATACTTCAAAGTACAAATCAGGCCTAATCTCCCTAAAGCTGTGAAGACATACACCAGTTGTCTACGCAGCCAAAATCTTGCGTGCTTCACGTACACACGTTATAGCGATCGACACTTGATCTTTGACAACTTGCCAGTTGTTGGTCTTGTCGATGTCGAACAAGGCGTCGGTGATTCCTGGGAAGCTGGAGCTACCGTAGATGTTATGCATCTGAGGCGCAAACAGCACATGGCGAACTCTTGTCCTTCCCGGAAGTCCAAATGGCCAAATGAACGCGCGCTCCATGTTCATCATCTGATCATTGAGAATACGCAGTTGGGCGAAGTCCTTGATATCGCCAGCGCTAGCCTTTCTCTGCTCGAAGGTGTCCGCGGTTTTTGAAAACTCTTCTACCTCACGAGTCAGGTGATCAAGAGTTATATTTCCCTTCAAGAGATCAGACTTGTAGTCTTTTTCCAAAGCATCAAGGTTACGGTTCAGAGCTATTTTGTAGTCCCTGAGATTGTATGGAAATAAGGGAGAGTCAGCAGCAGTGAGCAGAATTCTTGCACCTATTTGAGACATCGCCAAGTGGGTGGTGAAATGTGGATCGTTGAAGGTCTTTTGCCAGTAGAATGTGTCATGAACTGTGTGATAAACAGGATAAAGGGTCCTGTCCATGCTCTTAAATCTGTAACTCATGTCAATACTTGGTACTCCAATGAAATGACTGAAAGGTGCATAATCAGATCCAGAACCCAGACCTCCGAAATTAGGTTTTCCAGGTGTTGAGGAAGGGTATTTCTTTGACCAGCGATCATATACACTTGCGTCCTCTTCCCGCTCATTGGGATCCTTCACCGATGCAGTTTCTCTATACACAAGCGACTTTAAGGAAGGATTCCCATTTGCTCCAAAGCTGTAGTTTCCTTTCACCGCAGAGTCAACATTCAAATACATGACTGCTTTGTCTCTTAGCATGTTCCTGTTTTCTTCCACCCATTCATAGGAACCGACGAGACCATATTCCTCAGCGCCCCAACTGCAAAGCTTGATCGTTCTCCTGGGCCGCCAATCAGTTTCGGTCAGTAGTTTTCCTAGGCCACGCGACACCTCCATCATGACCGCTGACCCACTTGAAGGATCCACTCCGCCAAACACCCAAGCGTCTCGGTGATTCCCCATGAGCACCAAACGATCGGGTTCTTCTTTACCGAGGATCGTACCAATCACGTTATATGCAGGTAACGTAAAGAACTGATTGTTGACCTCCATTCTCACCTTAAGCTTTGCATCCGTGAAGCCTGGGCCAAACTTATAGACGATGCCTAGGCCACCCGCCCAGCTTGAGGGTACTGGGTCACCTGGGTGAAGTGCCAAGAATTTAAATTAATCGAAAAAGGAGCTTAAAAGATTGATTTGACGACATCATTTAGCTAAATTATTTTATGAGGAGCTACCTTTTAACAGTGCCCCTCTTAAACAAAACGATAATGATTAATAGCAAGGCCCTCTTCGCCAAGAGTCTCCTATATGCGAAAAATCAATGGTGGAGAGTTTGACACCCAGTTGAAAGGCGCGAGGAGGTACGATTCAAATGTATTTTGGCCCACGTCTCTGACAAATAAGTTGAACGTCTCATTTCTATCAGCTTCTTTCGCGATGTTCTGTACGTGATATGATGAATTAACTTAAGAAAAGCGCCTAATGGAATGGTTCCATTCTATACTCTGAAAGCTTCAAACCTGAACAAATGTAGAAGTCAAAGTCACTGTCTCACAGAGAGACGATGACGCAAAATGCACGATTTCTTACCGGCAAGACGCTTCAAAAATTCCACAGCATTATCATACGTTAACACTTGTGCAGGAATTTTCGGTATGGCGTCGCTGTCATTGATGGCTAGTCTGTAAACGCCGTCAATTGATGGCAGGAGAGGGGTCAAAGGATCACCATCTGCTAGGCCAATGGTTCCTCTCTGGGTGCCAGTTCCTGGAAGCCACCATGTCTTAGGGAAGGTTTCGTTCATACCTTGTGGAGAGTAGTCCGCTGGATCAGAATATAGCAGTGCACCAGCAGCTCCACAGTTTTGGGCGTTTTGGACCTACAGGGACGAAGAATAGCACGTTAGAGAATCCGTTGAACATCCATGAGGATGTATCGTTTTCTGGAATCCATCAAGATAGATGTCGTGTACTCGAGGTTCCTTTCTTTCTCATATACCTTGGTGGCCTAATTGATAAAATTCCACAATTATCGAGACTACTTATAGGTGGTTTGCAAACAGTCTCTAGAGACACAGGTAATAATGGTGAAAGTAACAAATGCTGGTGGACGAGCAAAAGAAGTTAATGAGATATCTATTGTTTACGTCCACCAACATGGCGGCGATGACGTAACGTGCAAACCACCTATTCAGCTCCTCTCTTGTTCTATACACATAGCCATGAAAGTATTACTTGCAAACGTGGGTATTGGACGATAAGAAACTTTTTGCAAACGACACTGAGTGTTTCTCAAACACGGAATACTATTCAGATCTTAGTCAAAATAACATGGGGCAGATTTCAAGAAAAACTAATCAAGAAGTTATTTTAGACAGGCAAATTCTACCTTATTTCCTCGAAATATTTTTCCATATCGCATGATCACAATCTTTCCAGTGCAATTCAAGTTTTTCTTCTTTAATTCTTTGAAATCGTCCACAGTACCGTAGTTTGCGTACATCAGGTCGGCCTCTACGATTCCTGGTGGAGAGTAGCCCAGGAAGGGTGGCAGGACAAGAGAGTCGTTTTCACTTGGTTCTGCAATCTAAAAGCCGTAAACAAGAAAATATTTTTCCCTTCAATTTTTAAAATAAGAAAAGATTTGGAGAAACATTTTGAAAAGTTCAACGCTAGGACGGCATTAAAATACATAAAAACTAAAACTTATAAAAACTGTTAAAATATTTTTGACTACGTTTCGGCGTTACTTCACGTCCTTAGAAAGTCAAGACTAAAAAGGACAAATGAAAACATGTATAAAATAATCATATAAAAAAAAACAATGGAAAGAATGTATTTCTCCTTTGTGTTTACGTTCCCAAAGCTGTACCATAGACCCTTTGGGAACTATAACTAGAGCAGCAAAAACAGTCTCCATTGTTGTTTCTACCTTTACGTGTCTTTCACTGGTCGGTTTTACTGGAAGTTTTTTAGGAAATTGAAGGGGAAAGTACACACAAACAGTTGTACTAAGTTTTTAGAAGGTTTTATGTTTTAAAGGAGTGACGAGTTAAGATAAAACAAAAGCGAGAAACCTAAGGCATGTAAACATGTAGAACGACTTAATATGTAAATTTGAACTGAACTAGCTTTGTCACTCTAAACAAGAGATGATAAAGAACACTTTGTCCTCTTTTGCTCTCATCCTTCCCTTAGTTCCTCTCGTTAATAGAAATAGTTCTGCCTGATACACAGGTGGCCCTAGCTCCAGCTGTGAGATGATTGTCTTCCGCAATAACAGTCATGGCGGAATTATAAGAGTTTGTATGGAATATTTACGACTGCTCTAAGGAATAAAGAAATACATCAAATTCTCAATTAAGATACCTCACCTTACTCCCACAGCGTATCGCTTGTTATCTGACCGCTTACTTTGATGAAAAGAACTCATTTTAGCGAGTTGTCCATTTCGACGTACATAAGAAAAGCCCTTTTCTTATGTACGTTAACAAGCGATACGCTGTGGAAGTAAGGTGAGGTATCTTTATTGAGAATTTGAAGTATTTTTTATTCCTTAGAGCGGTCGTAAATATTCCGATACAAACTCTTATAATTCCTCCATGACTGTTATTGCGCAAGATGATCATCTCACATTCAGCTGGAGCTTGGGCTGCCTGTACTTCATATAACTGGAATTGATATAACTTACTCTTCTAGTGGATCACTTCGGCCCTGTCACGTAACTTCAGCAATTATTCGCACGTTTTATATAAGCAATAAACTAACTAATAAACTTGCCTCCTGACATATATTAGTACAGAAACATTGGCAAGTTTGATGTCTATGTTTTCCACAAGTTTCCACAGGCATCTTTCATTTACCAGGAGCCCATTACCCGGAGCTTCCATCTTCCATACTGACCCTCTGAGCCAACCCTGTCCCGTATCTTTCTACTTTTAGAAGCATCTCCCACGGCGGTTTTCGCGGGTGTTTTTAATAATAGCCAATCATAAGAGAGCTGTCGTCTCTATTGTGTTACCGTCTCTATTGTATTACTTGCAGGGCGCACAAAATTATTCAATAATGGCAGAAAGCGCGGAAAGATTAAAGAACCCCCGCAAGTATCTCAGTTCTAAAGATAAAAGATACGGGACAGGGTTGACTCAAGGGTACAACTGAGATGGAAGCTCCGGGTAATGGCCTCCTGTATTTACCTATTACTTTTTTGGTTTTTTTTTTTTTTTTTTTGTTGGGTTTTCATTCATAAAGTTGTTATTCGTCTGTTATTAGGAACCAGTCCTCATATTATGCCTCAGGGGGTCGGAGTATTTTTTTTTTGGGGGGGGGGGGGGCGAGAAGAAGGGATCTCATAGTTTTCAAGGAATAAGTCGTCACCAACAGAGTATTAATCATAAGAATACTACATAGCCTGTAAATGTTATCGTGCAAAACCGGAATCCTCCGCTCTGACTCCTCCCCCGTTCCCCCGTGGTGACACGACCAAAATCATCCGACCTCCCCTCTCCTGGGCGATAAATAATGATTTATATGTGTATCTTTTTGCTTCAGGGTTTGTCTTAGCATGATAACTTCTGAGTTTGTCATAGTTTTTACGAATCACTACCAAGGGGTCGCTCACCTTTTCAGGGCCTGTTACGGTCCACAGAGCACTTCTGTCGGTCACATTAAGGATTTGAACGACGTTGGGTTTATCTCTTGGTGGCCTGGATAGAAGGACGTCATATCGCACCATTTCCACGTGATCAAATTTATAGCTGACCCACTTGTCACGCATGTATTGGCCAAGCTTTCTGTTTTGTTCTCCACCACCAACATGCGGGCGCTTTGTAAAATTGCTGCAAGAATAGCCATGAGTAAAAGGTTTACTGAAACAAGTCAAACGGGCGTGAAGTCCTCGCGCTCGCCTCGCGCTTACATTGCACTCGCCTTGCGTTTACGTCACCTTAGCCCTTTGCAGACGTTCAGTTACTAACACCGAGGAAAATAGTAAACAGCGCAAAAACAAAACTACCTTTTTGAGCCCTTCACTTTGATAACAAATGCTCCTGTCACAATCTGCCTTCGCTTAACTTTCCTGTAAACGTGAAATTCTGCACTAGAAAACCTAGCCTGAGCAGATGACGCTTTTACGTGAACTTAGGCAACTGAAGCGTGACGAGCGTCACGCTGATTTACGATCGACTGAACCACACTTTGCACGGGAAATACTCCCTCCACTGTCTATTTTCCACATAGATTTCTGTGTTCTGCTGAAAATTATTTGGAAATAAAAACGTATTCCTAACCCAACTCATTAAGCGTTGCTGTTGAAGTAGACTGGAGGTGATGACGCTCTTAGAATACTCACGCAAAGTTGCAATATTCACGCCACGCTGATTTGCGATGCAGCGAAATTTATTAGGTCTCATAAACGAAACGAAACGAAGGTGCAACTTACCGGGAAAACTCTTCGACACTTTCTGCTGTGAGTGAATTGACCATCCATTTATGAAGTTCCTCCACCTTTTTCGTAGGTGAGACTTTAACAGGGCTAATGCATGTGGGGACCACTACAGGAGAATCACTCGCTCGGGCTTTCATAGCAAAATAACCGATAACAAACCCGAGGAAGAAGATCACAACTGCACCCAATATTCCCAGGCCAACAAACAACCGAAATCGGTTCGATCGTCCTTTTGTTACAACGGGTTGTTCATCTTCTGCCTGCTTCAACATTTCAAAATCAGCCATGATTGATCGCAGCTACGACCCTAGCTGGGTGACGCTATATCGAAGGCGTCCGTCGAGAGTCAAATACACAAGTTTATAGTACAGCGGTTAAATTTGAAATAGGTCGTGTAAGCTGGAGCACGTGTTCCCCACGAAAAGTTCAAACCCGAAATGTGTGAGGGGCCGACCATTTAACTTTTGAGTGGGGGGG